TGTGAGGCAGTCCAAGCAGCCTGTGGTGTGGCTAATGTAGAGAGGAGCCCAGGCCCTTAAGCTCAAGCCCTGGCTGAACCCATGGCCAAGAGGCACCTCCAACTATCCTCCAGCCCGGGGTGAGCTCTCCCAGTTCACACTGCATGAGCAGAGACAGAGTATCCTGCCCAAATTATAGACTCTTGAGTAGGAAAAATGGCTGTTGTTGTTTAAGCCACTAAGCAGCAGCAGCTAACTCTGATATAGCATCCATGGCAGGAAGAATGTATGGATAATTATTACACACCCTGGAAAAGTGAGATGAATTCTTTTGTGCTGTCTTTTGCTTTGTCAATTTGTAAATCTCCTACATGTCTCCTCCCCCAGCACCAACCTCAACCTCCTCTGAGGTTGCTTCTTGGCTCTAGCAATTTACTTCTAGCATGCAGTAGCATTTAAGGAGGTTTCGATTTAATTAAGGGAAGTGGCCTGGTATGAGGGAGCCTTAGGAATTTGGAAGGTACAGGATAAAGCATAATGTCAAGAGTGGGAGAATGAGGCTAATGAGAACTGTTCTCATCAAAGATTTTTTAAAAACCTTTTTATTTATCATAACTTTTAAGTAACTTTAAAGTAAGCTACATGGAAAACACACTATTTTGCTTAATAGCAGAATTCCACGCCCATCCTGCATCTTTGGGGCTATGGTTCCTAGAACTAGAAGGCTGAGATGGAACTAAATTACTCTGCACAAGAAAGGTATGTGGGCTGCACCCCCCTGTTCATTGTAGCATTATTTACAATTGCCAAGACATGGAAACAACCTAAGTGTCCACTGACAGATGAATGGGTAAAGAAAATGTGATATATATTGGAATATTGTTGGAATATTGTTCAGTCATAAAAAGCAGGAAGTCCTGCCATTTGCAACAGCATGGATGGAACTTGAAGGCATTATGCTTTAGTGAAACAAGTCAGACAGAAAGACAAATACCATGTGATCTCACTTATATGTGGAATCTAAAAAAACAAAACCAAAAACAAAACCAAAAACACCCAAACTCATAGATACAGAGAACAGATTGGTGGTTGCCAGCAGTGGGAGGTGGGCAAAAATGAAGGTGGTCATAAGGTACAAGCTTCTAGTGAATAAGTCATGGGGGTACAATGTACAGCATGGTGACTATAGTTAATAGCACTGTAGTGCATATTTTTTGATATTTACTAATATGGGAAGTCATTCATAATTTGTGGCTAAGCCATAAAACAAAACAAGCAATTTAGAAAATAGTCACATATTTTCATAAGGAAAATGACTAGAAAAAATACCTCCAAATAGTTTCATTTTGCACAAATGTCTTACCTGATTACTATTCTTGCCACCTTTTATACCTTTGAAACTAATCTACTGACCTCTTGACCACAATATTTTCCATATGCTGGGGGAGTAAAAAGGAAATTAGAACAAATATGATCTGTCCCTGCTTTCATGATGCTTATCAATTACCATCGATGCAGGTGTTAAACCAAATAAAATGAAGACTGCTAGGAAGGCAAAAGACAGGATATTCTATAAATTTATAATAGCAATCCTTGGAATCCTAAACCCTAGGGTTAATTTTTATAAGACAACAAATAAATAAACAACTTCTGCTTACTGTCATGAATAATGAAATAGGACCTGCTTTCTGGACTCAGCACTGCCATTCTGTATACATTGGTGACCTTGTAACACCATTTAAGTTTTCTGTCTTGCATATTTGAAAGTTGCCGAGAGAGTAAATCTTAAAAGTTCTCATCACAAGAAGAAAAAATCTTGTAACTCTGCGGTGATGGATGTGAACTAGAATTATTGTGGTGGTCATTTTGCAATATATACATATATAAAATCATTATGTTGTACACCTAAAATGAGTGCAATATTATACGTCAATTATATCTCAATTAAAAAAAATGTAATAAAATGCCAAGTTAACCTAGAAAAAAAGGAAAAATAAAGGTATGTGGAGTCCCTGTGGCTGGCTTGCTGCAGGGGATGCCTTTGGGGAGGACAGAGATGGGTGATGGGAATGTTAATTAGGTGGTTTGCTACATGGCTTATGACAGAAATCCTCCCTTTGTGTATAAAATCTACAGCAAATTCTGCATTGCTAGGCAGTTAACTCCTGGAGTAGATTTACTTTATGGGGCTGTGAAGACATGCCAAAAGACATTCAGGCTCCCTGAAGGAGGAAACCACACTTTCCTGGGGTGAAGGGCCGTGCAGGGTAACACCTGGTCTCCCAGTGCAGGGAAAATCCAAAATAACAGAAGCCTTTTACTTGACAACATTTATAAAACTTCTTATTCTGGACATTTTCAAACTTATGTAAAGGTAGAAAAGTAGAATGAAGAATCTCTACGAACCCATCATTCAACTTTGACATTTTGACAAGCTTGGGCTCATTTTTAAAAGAAGCATATTGTAATTTTCCATGAAGCAGTATTTAAAGACACAAGAATCGTTGAGGAAATTAATTTTTTAGTGGCATTCATCTCAGAGAACAGCAGTGGAAATATATTTCTTTCAAAATAAACCAAAAATTAAAAATGTTTTGAAGCCATTTGAAACCATATGATTAGCTGAATTAGTTTCTTAAGACTTGAGGTGAGATAGCACTGAATAGATGCAGTATTTCATTCCAGCATTTTCTTTCACTACTATGTGAATCTGACCTGTAGAAATCTGAAAAAGAAAAGGAAAGAAAGACTAAATCGATGAATGAATTAGGACTTATAAATTTCATCTTTACATTATCTTGTTCCAAGTATCAAAACTTTCATTCCACTGCTACCCTACTGCCAAATTGCTGCATATTTAAAATCTATATCAAATAATGGCCCCTGGTTCAGTACAACCTACTTGGAAGAGTCACAAGCACTACTTAAAATTCAGATGAGTCTTCTAGGTGAGAGCCTCATTATGCTTCCTCGCTTGAAAGTTGCATTTATTTATTCATCCACATTAGTTATTAAGTGCCTACTATGCATCAGGCACCATTGCTAGGTGGTTGGGTAAACCAACAGAATGCTCTGTAGATTGCCAGAGCTAACCTCTCTTATCAAATGGCAATGACTCATCAAACATGCTAAGGTAAGAGACTCCTAAAGGCAGACACCCCGAAACAATTTTTTTCATTAACTGGATGACTAGACCAGTAAACTGCCACATTCTAAGTAGGGGACTAGGGCTACTTTGGCAAAATTCTGAGCCACATTGGTAACAAAGGGCTTTAAAGAAACATCAATGCTAGGGAAGAGAAACAACAGCTAATTCTCAGGATGTAGGGTACAAGGAGGAAAAAGAATAAGAAAACTCACCATCTTGACTCTGCTTGTAAATGAGTAAAGCACATCAGTCATTGGAGAAAGCAATCAGAAGACAAATACTAGGATACTAAAATGGTACTAGGGGCTTCCCTGGTGGTGCAGTGGTTGAGAATCAGCCTGCCAATTCAGGGGACACGGGTTCGATCCCTGGTCCGGGACGATCCCACATGCCGGGGAGCAACTAAGCCTGTGCACCACAACTACTGAGCCTGCTCCCTAGAGCCTGTGAGCCACAACTACTGAGTCCGCGGGCCACAAATACTGAAGCCCGCATGCCTAGAGCCTGTGAGAAGCCCGCACACTGCAACGAAGAGTAGTCCCCGCTCGCCGCAACTGGAGAAAAGCCTGCGTGCAGCAGCGAAGACCCAACACGGCCAAAAATAAGTAAATAAAATAAGTAAATTTATAAAAAATAATAATAATAAAATAAAATGGTACTAAAATGCAACATGAAATGAGCTAAGTTGTTCATGAAGAGGACATGACTTGGTGCTGCGTGTGGGCAAAATAAGTAAGAGGGAGACAGACTGTGCCAGCGCCAACCAGTCATACTCATGAAAGCACCATCCTGACCAAACACTTTTGAAGACTTTGGGAGATAAGACTTTGTAGACAATAGCCATTTCCAGGTGAAAATAAAACTTTGATAACAAGTTCAATGGGATTGGCAGTAAGTGATGGAAAGGCAGGACTGAGTAAGCCATTGCCCTCTGGCCTGAGAAAAATAGGTAGAACTGAGAGGATTAAAAATGTGACCAGGGGCTTTCCTGGTGGCGCCATGGTTGAGAGTCCGCCTGCCGATGCAGGGGACACGGGTTCATGCCCCGGTCCGGGAAGATCCCAAACACCGCGGAGCGGCTGGGCCCGTGAGCCATGGCCGCTGAGCCTGCACGTCCGGAGCCTGTGCTTGGCAACGGGAGAGGCCACATCAGTGAGAGGCCCGCGTACCACAAAAAAAAAAAAAAAAAAAAAGTGGAAAAATGTGACCAGGAGAGCTTAGGAAACTAGGTAAATGAGTAGCTGCCCAACTTTGACCATACTGCCACCAAAAAGTCAGTACTTTTCTTCCTAAACGGGAACTTTGGGCATTTTAGATAACTGGGTGAATTGTCCACACTTAATTTATAGAGACTAAGATAGCTTTCTACCACTTTGGAGAATGAATTATTATTTCAATATTGTGGAGTTGACAAGAACATGTAACTAGATATATTACATAGTCACACTTAGTGTAACATCTCAATGGGTTACTGTTAACAGCAGTGAACCTGTGATCTAGGCTTAGGGAAATGAATGTTCTGTCATACACGTGGCTCTACTACCTTAAATCATGATGTAGTTAAGATAGGTATGGATGAGATGTGGTATGTTTATTTGGTACATCACACGGCCACTCTACATGTGGCAGACATCCTAACAAATCACAGAATTCTTTCCCATCCAATCAGGGTTAGCTCTCTCTACCCAGGCTCTGGGAAGCTGACTCCCAACTGATTGGGGTAGGCTGGCCATTGAAAGTCATTTACCCCCCATTTGGTAATGGATATCTCATGTATCTGTGAGACAGAGTACCAAAGAAGTCAAAGATGTCTTTGAGAATTTGTTTTGATACTCACAAATCAAAGAATTCCCACCAACTTACCAAGCATCTTTTACAAAGCATTCATTGCTTTTCTTTTTTCAATATCTCGCTTGAGTTGACAAAGGGTGCAATTAGGGAAACATACCAGCCATAGGAAATCACTACAAATAGACCCCTGTTAAAAAACAAGCAAACGGATCAACATGTAGCCTATAGATACAGTCATACAATTCCTTGCATTTGTTTAACTTTTCATACCTCTTTAAAACATACATTTTATGTCACTTGTTTATCATGAGAATTCTGTGACGTTATCCCTACTTTTCTGATGACCAAGTGAAGTTCACTAACTTGCTAAGATCACATAAATTGGTGGCAGTGATTGGTCTTTCTCTTCTCGAGCCAGTGCCCTTTTCATAATAACATACCATTTCAAATGATCTGCAGGTTACAATTATAGCCCCAGTTCTCTATCATCTGTTGTCTCTTTTTTTTTCCTTTTTAAGAAAACTTTTGGTTTATTCATTATTTTTATTAACGTGGAATGGTTCCCTTTAAAGCCAGTTGTGTAATGCACCAATTTTTCCAATTGGTTGTGAGTATAGTGCCAGACGAGGCCTTACCTTGTATCCCTCTAGCCATTTCTATTGACGTCCCTCATGCTATTCTGCAAGGGAGGAAGTCCATAGTGAGGGAGGGATATATAAAGTATGGGGAAAAGAAGAAAGAAGAGAATGAATAGTGTCTGGAAAAGCCACTATTCATTCGTAGAATGGGCTGCTTTGCAAAGTTTTTCTTTTTAAATAAATTTATTTATTTATTATATTTATTTTTGGCTGCATTGGGTCTTCATTGCTGTGCACAGGCTTTCTCTAGCTGCGATGAGCAGGGGCTACTCTTCATTGTGGTGCGTGGGCTTCTCATTGCGGTGGCTTCTCTTGTTACAGAGCATGGGCTCTAGGTGCACAGACTCAGTAGTTGTGACTCATGGGCTCTAGAGCGCAGGCTCAGTAGTTGTGGCGCACGGGCTTAGTTGGTCCACGGCATGTGGGATCTTCCCGTACCAGGGCTCAAACCCGTATTCCCTGCATTGGCAGGCGGATTCTTAACCACTGCACCACCAGGGAAGCCTTTTGCAAAGTTTTGAGGGCCCTCTCCGTGGTAGGTCTAGTTGGGTCTTAATGCCCTTGGGTAGAGACGCCCTTGAAGGGACTCCTGCCCTGTGTAGTCGGCACCGAGTGATCTGAGGGTTCTAGTCTGACAACCAGGTTCTATGACTGTGTGTCTTGACTGATTGAAATAATTTTGAACTCCATTTTTGGATAGCACTTATTCTTTAAAATGTTGAATTTAATACAACTCCCAATTTACAGTGTGAGCAGGGACAGAGAGAAAGAGAGAGAGAGAGATCTATAGTAGATTTAGTTTATAAGGATTGGGAGCTCCTAAATGGTGAGATTATAAGTGATTTATTTTTCATAAAATTTTTTTTCTTTGCTGCAGTGATTTTGATGTTCGTCTAACAGAGAAAGCATGTGGGACAAAGAGTGGACAACTAGATAACAATGTTAGAAATCTTCTAATGATGTGACCTTCATCAGATGGAGGAATGGATATTCAGCTTGAAGACAATTCAGTCTCTTGGCCTTCTCTTTTTCCCTGATAAAGCATCCAAATCCTCTAACCCTTCCTCAGAGTACTTGTTTTTTTCATTCTTTAGTTCATTGTTTATTTTTATTCTTTTTATCTTTTAAACCTTCATTAAACCAACACTTACTGAATACATATTATATGCTACAAGGAAGAAAATATTCAACAGGGATGTAACCACTTTTCTGTTCCAGCATGTCTGTGCCTGTCTTTTACCTCATGAAGTTTTTAGGGGGAAAAAGTCCCACTATTATTTGCTGAGAGACCTAGGGAAACCTTTAGAAAACACACCCTAATTCTAAGTCTGTTTCATAATACAAATACAGAGAATATAGAAAGAAAAAAACATTCCTTTTTCAAATGAGAGGAAATGAGCTACAGGTTTATACCATGCTGAAGTTAATAAGGGACATAAAGGCCTTGACCAGAGCAGCTTCTTGGGAAGTGGGTGCCTGAAGCAAAGATTTTGCATTCATCACTCTCTTTGGGAAAGGGGACTGGTGCTTCACTTTTTTTGGAAGCTGTTAAAAAAAGAAGTCTTGTTATGAGCAGTATTTACAGAATCGTTGAGCAAATAAACGAATGAATTGTGGTACATGGCTGAATACACTTCAATTTGGGAAGACAAGATGGTCAAGTGGGAAAAACCAGACCTGACTCCAAGTCAGAATAAACTTGAGCCCGAATTTCAGCATTTACATGTTCTGTGACCTTAAGCCTTTCTCATTCTTGGCTTTCATGTCTATAAAGTGGAGATAACAATCTCTGCACCATAAAGAGTTTGTAAGTAGTAAATGAGCACATATATGTTAAGGTAGTGTCCCAGCACCTAGGCGTTCAATCAGTGGTTTTTTTTCTTTCTCCTCTGCTGCAGAGGCTGTGGCCCTATAGCCAAAGGGATGCTGTCTTGATTGTGTCCATGAAGGGAGGGGCAGGTCAGAGAGGCTGTATTGGAGCAGCCCTATAAAAGTTTGCATAGATGCAAAGGGGGAACAAAGCAAAGAACCTGAATTATATAAATCAGTCCTAGGATTTACTAGTCATTTTTGAAGTCTGTTCTAAGGAAGAAGAGAGATACATTGTCTATAAATACACTTATTTTATGTATACCAAGGGAATTTGTTATAGCGTAGAATCCCAGACCCTAGAAGTGACCTTCGAAATCATCTTGCACAACTTTCTCACGACAGATGAGAAAACTGATGCTGACAAATGACTTCTCAGAGAGTCCAAAAGTTAGCTATTTGCTGAGCTGTTCCCAGAACCTTTATCTCCAGAATCCAGCTAAGCACCCCTTCCTCTATGCCATTATGGTTGGGCCACGTTGAGAATCTCACCCTCACACCCATGTACACAACTACATACACCCAACACTTAGTGTACAGTTTTGGGAAGTTTATGGGACAGCCACAAAGTTAAGAACCCCTGTGTTAAGTTATGCTGGCATAAATGAGAGTGGCATAAATGAGTGGCGTAAATGAGAGCTGCAGGGAGTGCTGAGAGACAGGCAGCTGAGCAAGCCCACAGGAGGGATGTGGGAGAGAAGACAGCTGAGCTAAGAACAAAGCTAGTAACAGTTACCTGCCAGGCCCTGTGCTAAGTCCTTTCCATGCATGATCTCCTGTGACTCTTACCATGCCACCTTGGGGGAAGTATTATTCTTAACATTTTATCAGTGAGCTTAGTAAGATGAATAACTTGTTCTCGGTCACAATGAGCGGGGCAGAAGCTAAGTTTTCAGGAACACAAATCCGTCCTGTCACTTCTTTGTTTAAAAGCATTTTAATGGCTTTCCAGCTCACTTAGAATAAAAGCTCAAGTTCTTATCATGGTCTCCAAGGCCCTAGAAGGTCTGACTCTTGCTAATGCTCTGATGTCATCTTGTATGATCTCTCCACGCTCCCGCCTCCCTCCCCCCACCCCCCAAACTATTTCTGCCTCTCTGGCTGCTTTGCTGTGTCTGGAACATTCCAGGTAAGCTCTACTTCAGGACCTTGGCTCTAGCTATTTCCTCTGCCTGGACTTTCCCCAGATGAGTCATCCTCTCATCCTTTTAGGTCTTTACTTTCTTACTGAGGTCTTTCCTGATAACTCTATTCAAAATTAGAACCTTTCAACATTCTATTCCTCTTTCTTGCTTTTTTCTTTTTTTTTTGCGGTACGCGGGCCTCTCACTGTTGTGGCCTCTCCCGTTGCGGAGCACAGGCTCTGGACGCGCAGGCTCAGCGGCCACGGCTCACGGGCCCAGCCGCTCCGCGGCATGTGGGATCTTCCCGGACTGGGGCACGAACCCGTGTCCCCTGCATCGGCAGGCGGACTCTCAACCACTGCACCACCAGGAAAGCCCTCTCTTCCTTGCTTTATTTTTCTCTGTTGCATTTATCGCCATCCTATAGATTATACTCTTACTTAGTTATATTGCAGCTATCTTCTTCCATTAGTGTCTGAGCTCTACCATTGATAACCATCATAGTAGTAATTGCTGCGGCAAGAATCTTCGATGGGTGAGGGTTTGATGAGGAACAGGGTATTTACATCTCCCTACAAAGTCCTTATCCATTATAAAGGGGAAAAGAGCAACGTTGTGATGGAGAATCTTGACAGATGCTATCTTAACCAAGGAATCAAAGTTAACATCACGCATAATGAGATAAATTGATGTCACGTGCTTCCTGATGTCATGCAAAGCAAACATAGCATCGCTTCCGTGGAGTTTCTGCCAAAAGTGTGTAACCTAAGTCTAATCATAAGGAAACATTTGACAAGCCAAAGGGAGGGACAGTCTACAAAATAACTGATCTGTATTCATTAAAAAAAAAAAAAGACAAAGACTGAGAAACTCTTCCATGTTGTAGAATACTAAAGAGGCATGACAACTGAATACAATGTTTGCTTCCAGAATGATTTTCTTTTCATCTAAAGAAAATTATTGGGATAATTGGTAAAGCTTAAATAATATCCATAGATTACCTAATAGTACTGTATCGATGTTAAATTCCTGGTTTTGACAATTGCACTGTGGTAATGTAAGAGGATGTCCTTGTTTTTCAGAAATACACACTGAAATAGAGATAACAGGGTATCACGTTTATAACCTGCTCTCAAATGATTCAGAAAAACATAGAATAGATACATAGATAGAGGAAAGAGAAGAAAATAAAGAAAATGTGGCAAATTTTTAGTATTTGGGGAATCCGGGTGAAGCATATTCAGGAAGTCTTTGTACCATCTTTGCAACATTAAGTGTGAAACTATGTTAAATAAAAATCTCAAAAAAAAAAGAAAAGAAAAGAATGTAAGCTCCATGAAGACAGCGATTTTGATTTCCTTTATTCACTGATGTGTCTTTAACACCTGTAATACTACTTTGCATATTCTATGTACTCAATAAATCCCTGTTGAATGAGTGAACTTCAGCTTATGACCTAACAATGTTCTAGATGCTCAGTAATCCCTTTTGAATGAATGAACACTGGCATATAAGTTACCAGTGAGGTAACTGTCTCACCAATGTGCCAGCTCTGAGGGGAGCTATCATACACCCTTTTTTTACCCAAGGCTTTCTAAGCAACTGTCACCCACCCTGCAGCGTCCTCTGTCTGACTCTGAGTAAAGCCAGGAGAGATTAAGGACTCTGTGCTGACCTCCATCCCTCACCTGCTCACCGCCAGCAACTTTTTCAGAGTCATATCTATTGGATCAATAAAAGATTTTATTATGAATATATTCCAAAGGATAGATAGCCACATGGTCTCTGTAAATCACTTAAAAAATTTAGGATGGTAGTGGAGAAAAGACTAGGGTCAAATCATGAATGTGAGGAGGGCAATCATGGAGATCCAGTCAGACTGAAGGAAGGCCCTCGGCCTGTCCTGTCTGGGTAACTATTTCACAGTGGACACGGGTGACTCACCGGGATGCCGTATCGGGTCCTATACATGGTCCTCATGGCGACACTTGCTCCACACAGGCAGCATTCGTTCATGTCAGAGGCAATCTGACACGAAAGGCACAGGGGAAAGAAAGTCCCACAGAGGCCTGAGGGCAGGGTGAAATCACACAGAGGAATCAGTCAGGGTCATCGTGAGTTTGACTTAATCACACCACTTTCAAAAAGATGCTCACTCAGGAAATGGCCTTAATGGACATTCAGAGAAAACAGTGGCGTCCCCTGGCTCTTTATGTCTTGCTTCTGGATCCTACACTCCTGGAGGTGGGGAAAATTGACTGGTCATACGCCAGGTCAGATTTAATTGCAAAATCTCCTGCCTTGCCAATCTGAGCACGTCCAAATTATTTCTTCCCTACCCTTGTTTACATTTGGATAATCCTTGAATAGGAAGTTTGTGGTGTCAGGGGGTCTGAGAAACCCTCTGAAAACTGTGGGAGGGTGTTTAGGGTCAGAAAACATGGAGTGAAGAAATAATTGGAAAAATGAGTCGAGCAGTAGGAGACAGATTCTAGATGGTTGTTCTGACAAAGAGTAGAGGCCTATTATTGTTATGAGGATTGAAGCAAGTAAAAGTTAAGGGGTATAGGCATCAAAAGCTTAAAAAGCATACTGAAATTTCACTTTAAAGAGTCTGTATAAGACAAAAAAGGGCCTAAGGAAATAGCAACAAACAGGAAACTGTTCGCAAACATGCTGAGTACAAGTCTATTTTGAAAAGTTCTAGAGTAGAGTTTTGATGTGACTGTATCCTACATGAGATAAGAAAGCTCTTGTTTTTTCATTGATGGCTTTAAGCAAAAGGCTATCTCCACTGAACTTTGATAGAAAAGTTCAAAAAATCAAAGGCTATATAGATAGCCTTCCATCATATACAAAAAAAAGAGATTGTTTTTCAAGATGGTGGAAAGACCAGCCACACAGAGAATGTCTGCAACTCTTTCGGCAAAAGACTCTGAAACAAGGAAATTGTCTTACATGAAAGTGTGTTGGGTAGTGTGAAGGAATTAAACGTCAGGAAAGCTAAAAACCTAAAAGCTTCCCGAAATGGAACAGCCACAAGAGTCACATGAATACTGAAAACCAGAAACACAGACTCACCACTGTAGGGGAAGGAAGAGGTAAAGAGAAGACTGGAGAAACACATCAAGAACACAGGGATACTAAAGAGGTGAAAAATATAAAAAGAGGTGATTGATCTGGACAAGAATCACAAACTCAAGGACAGGCAAGTAAAAATGAATGAGTAAAATAGTTGGAAAAAACACACAAAATAGCCAATAGTGGATGGTGGACATAAATATGGCAGACTGTAGAGTGATGGTCCCTTTGAATGGGTTTAGCTAATACTCGGTAGCAACTGACTTCTGCCAGTTGAGGATGAGGAATCCTCTTTTCAGATTTTCCAAATTTTTAAGAGAAGCTGGAAATCTAGATTGGAAAGTTAGATTTTTATGTGGGCTCTGATTTTTATATGGTTCCTACTATTTTAAAATTAATACAGCAGGAGGGGTCATTATATACAGGACAAACAAAACACATCCTGTGGCAAAATCTGCCCAGTGGTTCCACCTTGTGACCTCTGAGTTCTAGAATAAAACATGGATCCCTTGAGAGGATAAGCAAACAATTTTTGTTATGTCAGCAACTGCACGACTGTAGCCCAGGAGAAAGCAACAACCATGTGCACTTACAAATCCCCACGTCATCACAGCAGTCAAACACGCCGGTTTGCCAGTCACTAACCATCGCACCTCCTGCACCATATCTTGGCTGCAAAACAACTGGATTCATTTTTAAGACTAAGTTCAAAAAGGTACTGCCTGTGAAAACAAAACCAAAACAGTATTCAACACCTAACTGGATTGGATATAACGTAGATACCAATTCAGAAGACATTTCATTGCACCCCTCCTGCTTAGGGTTAGTCACATCCAGCTAACTTAGCATAACATTTCCAGACTATTGCCAATATTTGAGAATTAAAAACACAAGGGAAAGAAAAACAACATAAAGGAGAGGGGATGGGTATTCCATTCTCAGGTTGTCTGGTTGTGTGTTTTGTTTTGTTTTTTTCCTTTTTCTCCTTTCATCAATCTCTCTTTTCATCAGCAATTTTCAAGACAACCATCCTGAACAATGTCTATTTTGCATTTGAAATGTTTCTACTTAACAGTAATTATAATCAATTTTTACAAAGCTATTCCACAGACATTATCTTAGTTGCTCTGTAAGAGAACTCTGTGAGATAAAGTTCTTTACGTCTGCGTAAAATTACTATTAAAACAGATGCTTCTAGCTAATGTCCGCATTAACTTGCTTATTAGTGGTGTCCTGATAGCTAAAGTTTACTTGGCAAAAGATTAATTTCCCTTTGTGAAGGTATCTCCGAAAAAAGAGGCTTCAAGTCCCACAGAAAAACCCAGTGGTTGCAAAACCAGTAGGAAATAAGTGTCCCCCAAACAAAGTGGTGCCTATACTACACATATTTCACCCAGAGATCAAGCTCAGTCTTGTGAGCTGCTACCCCGTCAGAACTCTCAAGAGAGAAAATGTCTTCACTAAAATGATTTCACTAGTGACTTCACTAAAATGATTCACTAAAATGATTTCACTCCTGACTAATGTCAAAAATGTCTCCTTTCTTATTTCGAATCTAACCATAATGCTGTGCTCTGTAGTCTTGGTCCCTGGTCACTTTCAACACTTTCCTTGACTAGTTACAGGGCATCCCCCCACCCCTATTATCTCTCGGCTTTTGCTCCTTCAATATTCCTCCACTATGTTCTCAGGAAAGGCCCCAGTCAAAGGTTCTACCACAAGGCTTCCCAATCCCTAGTGCTTGGTTAAAAATGCAGATACTTGATTCTGATTCAGCAGGCTGGGGTGGACCCTGGGTGTGTAAAAATTTCAAGAGGTGATTCTGATACAGCCAGTTCTGGAGACCACTGTGTATATGTCATATCACTCTTCCTCTGTCCTTCCTAATCAGTCTTCTAAGCTCTTCACCTTGCTCTGCATTTCTTGACTCATTTGTCTACTCTGGGATCCCTGACTGTTATCAGTTGATTCCCACCAACAGCCAACTCCCCACTAAGTTAGAGTTCATGGAATAACAAATGCCGAAACACTTTGAACTGCCTTAGAAAGGTGCCTCAAATATTTATTATCAAGAACTCGCTTTCTGACACAAAGAGAAAACCACCCAGATTGAGAAGGCTATATAATTAGGGTCAAATCACACAAAGAATCATGTTTGAAACTGCAAGGTGTAGATAAATATTTAACTAGAATTAGAAGGTCTTTCTCCTTTCTGACTAACCAGGAGGGCAATGATGGCTTTGCTGATAATGCAGGAAAATATATTGCTATGTGGTGGTGCAGACTATTAACTGACAAGCTAAAGGAATAAAGGACTGACCAGGGAGTCTTACAACAGTGCCTGGCACACAGCAGATATGCAGTAGAACATTGTTGAAAGAATGAATTAGCAGAGAGGTGGTGGTTAACAGTCATCAGAATGGATAGTATTCCCTTGTCTAATAGAGTGAATGTAAATTTGTGCTGGGGTAAGACACAAACTTTTCAGTTTTTGTATAGACATGTTTTGTATTTCTCATTATAACGGAGTCTTTATGAATTAAACTATTCTACATAGCAGTTAGTGTCCACTGGTTTGTTTATAGATATTCTGTCTTAGAAAACCACTGTCATATTGTTAGCTAACATTTGTGATATAACTTATTTAAATACAATAGAAAACTTGCTTATAACTGACAAATTTTCCTTTTACTGTTTTAAACTTTAGTGTAAGAATCACTTGAGGGGGTTTTTAAGAATGATACATCCCTAGAAATTTGGATTTAATCTAATAGGTCTGGAAAGGGATTGGGGAATCTGTATGTTTAATAAGTACCCAAGTGCTTCTTAAGGGAGAAGGGTTAATAAAAAGTAAGAGTGGTGAGGGGGACCAGCTGTATTATTGCCTAATCTCACTGCTTTAGCTCTAAACCATATTTGTTTGACTCCTTTCCCAGACAATGATTCCTCTGAGAACCAAATCAAAAGGGGACAAGAAGAGAAAAGGATAATTCATTCAAAGTCTTTTTATCCAGCAAGCCTGGCTTCATTTTGCTATTGGGTATAGTTACAAAACCAGAGGGGGGTATCAGAACTTTGAATAAGGGGGAGAAACTAAGAAGAGAACTCATGAGGTGGGAATCTCTAGTAGTGAAATTAAAGACCTAAAACTGCAGAGACACTTACATAGCACCAGACAGACAAGTACAATTCGAAGAGGAAGTGGTGGTATTTAATTTCAATCAAAACAAGTCTGTTCTGTGAATCTCTTTGACCCCGTGGGAGGTGTAAAAGAAGCATCTGACTCAGGGCCCTGAGATGGAGAAGTCCAAACATGCGATCTGGGAACAAGTTTTGTGCTTTTTGTTTTTTTCCAAAGTAACAGAAGTAGAATTATCATTCGTTCTGGTGAAGTTGGAGAAGGCTGATTGGAGGGCATGGGATTCTTGTCTAGGCATAGATAGTAGACATTCTAGGCAGGGGAAACAATGTGAGGAAATGCACAGGGGAAAGAAAGAGGGTGGAATGCATGAAGAACAGTAAAGACATTAGCTTTTGGGAGCAGGAAGCAGGGTCGGAGTGTAGGGATAGAAATGCATGGCTGAACCTCAAGGTCTCCTTCCCACACCTGCAGCAGACATTTTCCACCCTCTGTGTGTCCTTGGACAAATTAGCTTCTCTGAGCCTCAGTTTTAACATCTTTAAAATGAGTATAATGTGACTTTCTTCTTTGAGTTGTCGTATTAATGTGATCAGACTATGTCTATTAAACGCCGTGTTTCCTGTGTGTCAATGACCTGACATATGCACCACTGTGTCTGTTTTAAACTAAATGTTGCCAAGTAGCAGGACCTATGCCTGATTTAATGGTACGGAAAAGCGCCTGAGAGCCCAGCACCCCGAGGCTAACGACACTGTTGTGATAGGAAGATCAGTGCGTTAGGAATGAGAAGGCTTGAATCGTAGTCACTGCTAGTATTGGGGAGGCTCAAATAAGATCACGTATGTGAAGACATTTGGAAATCTGCAAATCACCGTATACATGGGAGACAGGTGCCAGTGAAAGCTGATGGAAAAAATCTGCACGTGATGTGTTGCCAATATCACAATGGCTTACACTTGTATAGAGTGCTATGCTTTTCATGTTTGATCTCTACTTAACCTTGGTCTCTATTTAATATTCACAGCAGGCCAGCGCACTCAGGGAATTAAGGGTGATAAGACCCTTTTTAATGCAGACAAGAAAACTGAGGCAAAGTGGTCAAGTGCCAAGGCCAAGGAAAGATCATGACCGCCAGGCCAACCTCTTTGTAGATGAGAAAATGAGGCTTGTCTCAAAGACTTAGTGTTGGTCCCACATCCTCTTCTTAGTCTCTCTGGGGAAAAGATATGGCGAGCACCTCACAGGAGATGTTGTAGGAACCAGAAGATGAGAAAGTGGACCGAGCAGCACGATCGAGTGGTTAGGTCATGGACTCTGGCCTTAGGCTCCAGCTCTCCCAGTGACTAGTTACATGGCCTTGGGCGAGTTACTTCACCTCTCTGTGCCTCAGTTTCCTCATCTGTGAAATGGGATATTAACAGTATCCAACTCACAAAGTTGTAATGAGGATTAAATGAGTTAATATTTGAAAAGTCCTTTGAGTGATTCTTGGCAGAGGGTAAGTACTTCATGAATGTTAGTTAAATAAGAGAGTAGTACTTGGATCTGGAGGGAAACACAATACTCCTCCCACCCCATACCTCCTTTACACCCCTAGGAACTGTGAGATGTGGGTAGTTCTCCCACAAGGCTACAGAAGAAAGGGAAAGAAACAGAAAATAGCCACATGTTCAGTGTGACAAAGTGGCAGGGCTGGGATTTGAATTCAGTTCTACGGAGCTCCAAAGCCTTTATTCTTCTTTCCATTGAACTCTACCAATCAGGGACTATAAATCTTGGCCAGCAGAAATGAGCAAGCCTTGTTCAGGAATGAAAGGTAAGCATTCTCCTAGAACGTCCCTTCTCATACAAATTTTTGGGACTACCGGAAGCTAGACAGTTTGTGACTAACCTCTTTCTTTTTTATGTCCGTACCTATGTATGTATGTGTGTTATGTATTTTTAATATCTTGAAACCAGTCAATAAAAGCTTGCCCAAGGGTTCACAATACATGTGTAGAGAACTGGTTCTCAACCAGAGATTACTGCAACTCCCAGGGGACATTTGGCAATGTCTGGAGACATTTTGGGTTGTTGCAACTATAGGTGAGGACTACCTAGTGGGTAGAGGCCAAGGATATTTCTAAGCATCCTGAAAAGCCTAGGGTTTTTTGTTTTTTGGAGGAGAATTTTCCATCACCAAACGTGAACTGGGCTGAGGTGAGAAACTGTGGTTTAGAGAACATTAACAACATCGTGAAACAAGAGCATTGGGAGGGATTCTGAAGGCTGTCTAGCGTAGTTTCCTGGCAGATACAGATGTCGTGTCTGCAGCAGGCCCGACAAGCTGTCCTGGTGACGAATGAAACCTTACACATCGCTTTTGAGTTAAAAAAATGTTCAACGTGCAAGTGCTGGAACTCGGAGATCAGAACAGGAACCCTGTGCCCCCATAGATTTGTTCAATTCCTGTCTGAAATGCCTCTTCTTTTCATTAATTAATTAATTAATTAATTTTTGCTGTGTCGGGTCTTCGTTTCTGTGCGAGGGCTTTCTCTAGTCATGGCGAGCA